ATCCGGTCTCCCCGGGACCCCACATTCACTTATCCGCTTCATCCTCGGACTCCCTAGAATTCACTATTTACCGGACCTACCTCGGACCCTGCATTCACTATATCTGGTCTCCCCCCGGACCCTGCATTCACTAATATCTGGTCTCCCACCTCGGACCCGCATTCATTATATCTGGTCTGTCCCTGACCCTGCATTCACTATATCCGCTCTCCCCCGGACCCCGGACCCTGCATTCGCTATAATTCCCCGGACCCTGCATTCCACTATTATCTGGTCTCCTCGGACCCCACATTCACTATATTCCGCTCTCCCCTGGACCCCACATTCCACTGTATATCCGGTCTCCTCGGACTACCCGAACACATTCACTAATTATCCACTCTCCCCGACCCTGCATTCACTATATCTGAGGTGTCCCCAGACCCCGCATCATTATATCTGCAGTCTCCCCGGACCCTGCATTCACTATATCTGGTCTCCTCGGGACCCTGCATTCACTATATCCGCTCTCCCCGGACCCCACATTCACTATATCCCATCTCACTCCCCGGACTCCTGCATTCACTATATCTGGTGTCCCCCCGGACCCCGCATTCATTATATCTTGTCTCCCCGGACTCCTGTTTCACTATATCTGGTCCTCACTCGTACCCCGCATTCATTATATCCTGGTCCTCCCCCTCGGACCCCCGCAATCATTATATCTGGTCCCCCCCCACTCCCGGACCCCGCATTCACTATATATCCTCTCCCCGGACCCCGCATTTCACTATATCTGGGTCTCTCCCACGACCCCGCATTCATTATATCCCCCTTCCGGATCCCCGCATTCACTATATCCCTCCCAGGACCACGCATTCACTCCGCCTCCCCGTGACCCCGCTATTCACTATATCCGGTCTTCCCGGACCCCGCATTCCACTCGATATCCGGTCCCCCAGACCCCTGCATTCACTATATCTGGTGTCCCCGGACCCCGCATTCATTATATCCTTCGTCTCCCCGGACCCTGCATTCACTATATCTGGTCTCCTCGGACCCCGCATTCACTATATCCACTCTCCCCGGACCCCGCATTCACTATATCCCGGATCTCCCGGACCCTGCATTCACTATATCCTGTCTCCGCCAGACCCCGCATTTGCACTATATTCCGGTCTCCCCGGACCCCGCATATTCACTTATATCCGGTCTCCCTGGACCCTGCATTCACTATATCTGGTCCCTCGTCGACCCCACATACACTATATCCACGACTCCCCGGACCCCGCATTCACTGTATCCGGTCTCCTTCGGACCCCCACATTCACTATATCTGGTCTCCCCGGACCCTGCAATCTCACTATATCCGGTCCACCCTGGACCCTGCATCACTATATCTGGTCTCTCCGACCCCCCACATTCACTATATCCACTCTCCCTGTGGACCCCCACATTCACTGTATCCGGTCCCCTCCTCGACCCCACCATTCACTATATCTGGTCTCCTCGGACCCCGCGCATTCATTACATATCTGGTCTCCCCGGACCCTGCATTCACTATATACTGCTCTCCCCGGAACCCTGCATTCACTATATCCGCTCTCCCCGGACCCTGCATTCACTAATAATCCGCTCTCCCCCCGGACCCTGCACTCAACTATATCCGCTCTCCCGCCCGGACCTGCATTCACTAAAATCTGGTCTCCTCGGACCCCACATTCACTATAGTCCGGCTCTCCCCGGACCCCGCATTCATTATATCCGCTCTCCCCCCCGGACCCTGCATTCCCTATATCCCCGGTCTCCCCGGACCCTGCACTCACTATATCTCGCTCTCTCCACCCGGACCCTGCACTCACTATATCCGCTCACGCCCCGGACCCTGCACTCACTATATCCGCTCTCCGCCCGACCCTGCATTCACTATAACTGGTTCTCCCCCCGGACCGCTGCACTCACTAATATCCGCTCTCCCCCGGACCCCGCATTCACTATATATGTTCTCCCCGGATCGGACCCCGCATTCTCACTATATATGTTCCTCCCTGGACCCCGCATTCCCAAAAAAAAAATCACTATATCTCTCTCCCCCGACACGGCATTTTCACTACTATCCATCCGCTCTCTCCCCGGACCCTGCATTCCTATATCCGCTCTCTATCCCCGGACCCTGCATTCACTATATCTGGTCTCCCCGGAACCCGCATTCACTATATATGTTCTCCCTGGACCCCCGCATTCTCAACTATATCCGCTCTCCCCCGGACCCCGCCGATTCCACTATATCTGCTCTCCCCCGACACGGCATTCACTATAATCCGCTCTCCCCCCGGACCCCGCATTCACTATATCTGGTCTCCCCGGACCCTGCATTCACTATATCTGGTCTCCCCGGACCCCGCAATCACTATATCCGCTCTCCCCGGTACCCCCCGCATATCACTATATCTGCTCTCTCCCCGACACGGCATTCACTATACTATCCGCTCTTCCCCCGGACCCTGCATTCACTATATATGTTTCTCCCCGACCCTGCATTCACTATATCTGGTCTCCCCGGACCCTGCATTCACTATATCTGTCCTTCCTGGTCCCCGCATTCACAATATCCTCTCTCTCCCCGACCCTGCATTCACTATATCTGGTCTGCGTCTTCCCACAGTACACACTGTCTGGTGTACTGGGTCTGGTTATAGGATAACCAGCGGAATGTCCGGTATCTGCGTGTGATCAGCATTCCGCTGTGATCTGCTCTGTGTCTCTGACCCCAAACACAGGCCCTGTGCTGCTTCCCACTCAGATATACACCTCATTATTAGATCCACACAGATCATCACAAGACCAGATTTGCTGTGTGATTGTATGACAGGAGAGATCGGGGATTGTAATGATTATTATTATTATACAGGATTTCTTGGCACCAACAGTTTGCTCAGCGCTTTACACTATAATATGACATTGTATCCCATGCCTACCCACTGCCCTATATTGTGTCCATGTCCTACCCTGCGCCCTAAATTGTGTCCCATGCCTACCCACTGCCCTATATTTGTGTCCAAGTCTACCCTGTGCCCTATATTGTGTCCATGCCTACCCTGTGCCCTATATTGTGTCCCATGCGTCTACCCTGTGCCCTATATTGTGTCCATGTCTACCCTGTGCCCTATATTGGTGTCCATGTCTACCCACTGCCTCTAATATTGTGTCCATGTCTACCCACTGCCCTATATTGTGTCCATGTCCTACCCACTGCCCTATATTGTGTCCATGCCTACCACCACTGCCCTATATTGTGGTCCATGCCCACCCTGTGCCCCTATATTGTGTGTCCATGCCTACCCACTCACACTGCCCTAATATTGTGTCCATGCCTACCCTGTGCCCTATATTTGTGTCCATGCCTTACCCACTGCCCTATATTGTGTCCATGCCTACCCACTGCATCTATATTGTGTCCATGTCTACCCACTGCACTATATTGTGTCCATAGTGCCCACCCCTGTGCCCTATATTGTGTCCATGCCTACCCTGTGCCCTATATTGTATGTCCATGCCTACCTTGTGCCCTATATTGTGTCCATGCCTACCCACTGCCCCTATATTGTGTCCATGTCTACCCTGTGCCCTATATTGTGTCCAATGTCTACCCACTGCACTATATTGTGTCCATGCCCACCACTGTGCCTATATTGTGTCCATGCCTACCCTGTGTACTATATTGTGTCCCATGCCTACCCACTGCCCTATATTTGTGTCCATGCCTACCCCACTGCCCCTATATTGTGTCCATGCCTACCCTGGTGTACTAGTATTGTGTCCATGCCTACCCACTGCCCTATATTGTGTCCATGACCTAACCCTGCGCCCCTATATTGTGTCCATGCCTACCCTGCGCCCCTATATTGTTGTCCATGTCTACCCACTGCCCTATATTGTGTCCAAGTCTAACCCTGCGCCCTATATTGTGTCCATGCCTACCCTGCGCCCTATATTGTGTCCCATGTCTACTCCACTGCCCCTATATTGTGTGTCCATGTCTACCCACTGCCCTATATTGGTGTCCATGCCTACACCCTGTGCGCCTATATTGTGTCCATGTCTAACCACTGCCCTATATTGTGTCCATGTCTACCCACTGCCCTATATTTGCGTCCATGCCTACCCACTGCCCTATATTGTGTCCATGGCCTACCCACTGCACTATGTGCATTGTGTCCATATGGTGTGGAGCCTACCCTCCGCCTATGAAGACCCTATATCCCGTGTCACGGCCCACCCCTTCCTCCACAAGCCCCCTCCCTCCCCCACCCTGTGCCCTATATTGTGTCCATGCCATACGCCTCTCCCTATGAAAGCTAAATAGGCCGCACTCCGTATTGTGTCTCCATCTCGTCCCCCCCCCCCCCCTGGATCGCCTACCCACTGCCCTATATCAACCCTGTGTCCATGCCCACTACACCCCGCACTGCCCCCGCTAATGTATTGTGGGTAGTCGGAACCCATGGCCTACCCACTGGCCCTATATTGTTGTCCATCGCCTACCCACCTACCCTGTGCCCTATATTGTGTCCATAGCCTACCCACTGCCCTATAATTGTGTCCATGCCCACCCCCTGTGTACTATATTGTGGTCCATCCTACCCACTGCCTACCCTGTGCCCTATTATAAGTGTGTCCATCGCCTACCCTGTGCACCTATATAGTTTCCATGCCTGTGCCCTAATTTTGGTCCTACCCTGTGCCCTATATTGTGTCCATGCCTACCCACTGCACTATACTGAGTTGATACATGGTAAGGGATTCCTCATCTGCAAAATCTTGTCTCCTTCATTGGCAGAGACATGACTGTGCTGAAGTTACGAGCCGTGTAAATCTCAGCGCTGGCTGAGCCTAGAAATGCGTATTAACCGTCTGGTAAATGCTGGCCCTGGATAAATAAGTGTTAAAGCCAAAGGCAATTTTCCTTTCGTACTTTTGGAGAGGATTCGACCCCGTGTCCAGACCTTTATTGCCGTCTTGGGGGCCCCCAATAGAAGATTTCACCCTCTCGAGATTTGTCCTGTTTTACTGTTCTCCTTGAAAAAAAAAGTGAAACAAAATCACATATTTTGGTTGTCCACCAGAACAGGAATAGAGGAAAATCTCCCCAATGGGGACACTAGTTTTCTGGTGACAACCAAGCCTTACCCCTTTAGCTGGATTTTCCTTTCACTTTCAGGTTTATCTATGTGCAGTGTTTTCTCAACCTTTCTAGCGCCGCGACCCCTTAATGTACAGTTCCTCATGTTTGTGGTGACCCCCAACCATAAAATTATTTTCGTTGCTCACTTCATAACTGTAATTTTGCAGTAGGAGGAATAGTGTGCCACGTCATTGGTGTCATTGGGTGTCAGGAAATAGTGCCCCATCATTGATATATTAAAAGACAGTTGGATGAGAGAATAGTGCCCGTCATGCAGTGTAAAAGTTGGTCAGGAACAGTGCGAGGAGGGAATATGGTGCCCCCTTCAATTGTTCGGTGACAAGTGGGAGGAATCAGTGCCTGCCCGAACATTGGTGATGGAACTAACAGTGGGAGGAATAGTGCCCCGTCATTGGTGTCAGTGGGAGGAATAGTGCTCCAATCATCGGTGTCAGTGGGAGGAATAGTGCCCCATCATCGGTGTCAGTGGGAGGAATAGAGTGCCCCATCATCGGTGTCAGTGGGCAGGAATAAGTGCCTCATCATCGAGGTATCAGTGGGAGGAATAAGTGTCCTATCATCGGTATCATTGGGAGAGGAATATTGAGCCCCATCATAGGTGTCAGTGGGAGGAGGAATAGTGCCCCATCATTGGTGTCAGTGGGGGGAGGAATAGTGCCCCATCATTGGTTGTACAGTGGGGGGAATAGTGCCCCATCATAGGTGTCAGTGGGAGGAATAGTGCCTCATCATTGGTAAAAGTAGGGAGGAATAGTGCCCCCATCATTGGTCATCAGGTGGGAGGAATAGTGCCCCATCATTGGTATCCAGTGGAGGAAATATTTGCCCCATCATTGGTGTCACTGGGAGGAATAAGTGCCCCATCATTGGTATCAGTGGGGAGAGGAATAGTGCCCCGTCATTGTGTATCAGTGGGAGGAATAGTGCCCCGT